CGGCGGGGCCCGCTCCCGGTCCCGGGGGGGCTGCCTGCGGGCCTACCCGGCGCTGCCGGTGTGGGTGGTGGAGGACCACCAGGACGTGAGTGGCCGGGCCGAGCGGTGGAACGGGGCGCCCCTCGGGTGGTGCGTGGGGAGCGGCTTCGGTTCTTTCTGTCGGTCGGTCGGTCGCTCTTCCTTCCGGGAGGACGCGCCTTGCCGCGCTGTCCCCGCTGCCGGCGGTTCCGTGAGACCGGCCCAGAGCTCACCCCTGCGTTCTCTTTCACCACGGCAACATAAATCGAGTTCAGTGCTCAGGTGACCTGAATTCCCTTCCCGAGCCGGTGATTCAAGTTAACAAATGCCATGATCGGATTTTGGCATCTTTGTAACGGCTGTGGGTGACTTTTTTGTTCCTTCTCTTCTTTGCCGTAGTTAAAAGGAAACAATACCTACATCACACTGCTCTTAGAATCAGCTAGGCATTAGTGCGGTACTTAGAAACTCAAACCTACACAGTGTCGACAGCAAATTGGTAAATGTAATCACGTGCTAACAAGGAGAGTGACTGCCACGTGATGAGAAAGGTTAAATTGGGAACTTTGCGGGTTTAGTTAAGTAATTGAAAAGGGGAGTGAAGAAGGAATTGCTTTTCAACTGCTGTTTCTGGTTTCCCATATGGTTTGTTTATAGTAGCATAAGCTGAGGCCTTAGTCCTAAGTAAGCAGATTCTTTGTAAACAGACAATTTTAGCGTAATGAAGTTTATTAAAGAAAGTAATGTTCTGAATTTGTAAGTAGTTTAACGCAGATCAGTTTTGCTAAGACTCACTGAAATATATGGTGCTGTGATAGCTGATTTTTTGTGGTAACCCGGGACTTAAGAGTGTCACTGTAATAGGAATGCTGAGGTAATTACTATTAATGATTATTCTTTGTTTTATTCACTATATTTCTATTCTCAATTAGCGCAACAAAGTCTATTCATTCTAAACGTGTATGCTGTGTTTTCAGTATATGTGTGTATATGCATCGGTCTGTCTTGCATAAAACATAAATGGCTTTTCATCCCAAAGTGTAAGAACTTCACAGAAACTTTATATAGTCCTTTGTTGACACTGATGTTCCTCTAAGGCAAGGTGTCACTAAATGCGTCATGCACTGATTAATAATACAGCTGGTGTAAAGGAAATTTTGTTCTTAATCCAAAGCAGCAGAACTTGCAACATTAGAGATGGCAGTCTCTTGTGTCTTCCCCCATTCTCTCCTAGTCTCACAATTTGTAGTGACACTTATCTGAGATGAAACTTTAATTTTAATTGCGAAGATTGTAGTTTGTTCAGGTAGGCCAGATTACATGCTTTTTCCAAAGAAGTAAAAGTCATGGATGAGGGAACCCTTCTTATTTTTAACCTTGTTTTATCTACTATTACAATCGTATATATATTACTGCATATGTAGTGGGTAAACTGGGGAACTTGTTCCTAGACAGATGGAATACAGTTCAAATTTTAGCTGTCAGTCATGTTTTACAGCTATGCCCATGTAGTACGCAGGATTTGTCATCTTAATCAGTTTTTTTTGCCAAAAACAGTAGTTCAGTTTCTGTTGTAATGTAGAGATCGAATGGAATTTTTGTTGCCCAGTCCTTTTACAGTCTTCACATTCCTTGTATAATAGGGCTGTGATTCACAATCCTTGCTAGATTTGTTCTGGCAGCTAAAGCAGTTACTTTTCCCGTAACTGTGGGACGGACTCCATGTACTGCAGTTTAGTGTAAAAGGTATCATGAATCAGCCATCAGTTTTCTCATTTTACCACCCTACATTGTTGCACTTCAGTGGTTTACTATGCTATAAATTGATGAGTTGCCTCATCTCCTGTTTTTCATACCTTTCAGTGAAGACCTTCAGCAGGGGTTAAAGTTGGGCAGTTGAGAAAGGTAGTCTGTTTATTGCAGCCACTAAGTCATGTAGGGATTAGGAATTAAGCTCTTTCATTAAGGGGGATAGGTGTAAAGATAAGCTAAAGTTTAAGTCATGGTAGGGTCAGTTTTCACTCTATATCAGTTAACTTATAAAACACAAGTAATGAAATGTTTTTATCTCCATAGCACCCATGCATGGTGAGGAAGCTTTTTAGCATGGAGAAGGCAATGCAGGGGCAGTGTTCTGCAGAAGAGGAAAGGCATTCCTGGTGTTCAGTTGTAAATGAAAAAAATCTAGGAATTGAGCTGAATGGTTAGTGAGAAGAGCTACTGCAAACAAGACTTCCTATAAAGAAGGAAAGAGGGAGTAAAGCTGTGATTCTTCAGCAGCTTCTCGCGTGGAACACTTGGGCTCATAGTGATTACAGTTCATGAGCTGTCTTGCCACTGGAGTTGTTTCCCCTTTATATTGTCTTCTGTCTCCCCATCCCTCTAATCCAAATTCAAAAGGAGTAAGAGTGGGACTAGTGTTTTTGTTGTTAAAGCTGTTGCATTTTTCAGCCCACTGGTTATAATTGAAATGTTTTTATTCATGTTGTTTTAGGTGCTGCCTTTCATCTATCGTGCCATCGGTTCAAAGCATCTTCCTGCCAGTAACATCAGCTTTGTTCATCTTGATTCCCATCCAGACCTTCTTATTCCTGTGAATATGCCTGCAGACACTGTATTTGACAAAGAAGCTCTTTTTAGGTAAGTTCGGGCTACTGCATCAGAATACTTTAAGTCTACTTCTTGCTGCCTTTGTTTTACAGTGAATATTGGTATGACTGCATAGGAAGTATGAAGAAAAGATCTAAGTCAAGTTCAAGTTGTATCTTCTGTCTGTTCGCTTTTGCTGAAAACTATTTTTTGGAACGGAAAAAGTTATGTTTGTGTTTTATGAATGTTGTCAAATGTTTATGTTGCATATCAAGCAATTTAAGATGTATGAATTTCCTTTGTTTAGTTGTTCAGTAGTATATCATGTTACTAGCCCAGGTAGTTCCTCTGGGTAACAGGAGAGCACTCTTGAGTGGATGCTTTGTCTGAAAAGCTGTAGTTTTAAAACAGCCTTTCTCTCTTCACACTGAAAAATTGACTTTGAGATTGAAATAACATGTCTTATGTTGACATGGTGAATATGTGAAGCTGAACAAGATTTTCCTATTAAGATCATTAAGACCAATATTTTCCCCAAACTTCTTAGGTAGGTAGGTAGGTAACAAGCCACAAAGTGATCTCTGCTATTGTCTTTCTCTTCCCGTTTTAAAATAAATATTGATTGCTTCAGTATTGTGGTGATTTACAGCAATGACAAGCTGATGCAATTGGTGTGTAAGTACTTGTATCATCCTACCCACAGTCAATATTTTGTTCTCTTTGTTGGATGAGTAAGAAGTTTTGTGAGCTGTATCGTACACCTAAAAAAATAGGGTGTTGATAATGAGGAAAGATGCTAATCTGTAGATGCTGACTGACTCACTTTAATCACTGAGATTATATTTAAAATGTACTTAGAGCAGTTTACAATAAAATACTCTCATGAGATCAGTTTGAAGTTACTTAGAATAGTGATGCTCTTTGCACTTTCCTCTGTCTGATGTAGCAAAAGAAAAAGGACAACAAATCCATGTGGTTTATAATCAAAGTGCCATGTTAAAAGTGAAGCTCATTGCACTCTCTAATCCTAACTTTTTAAAATCTACTGTGGAGATTTTTGTCTGTCTCACGAATAAAGATTTCCCTCTTTTTCTTTCTTTGATGATGTGACCCTTACACAGAGTTCTAATTTCAGATGATTTGCATTGGGGCTTTTAAGGCACAGAAGGTGTTTGTGGCGTTTTTGACCATGTCTTACTTACAGGGAAAGTAACAGTGTTTGCTCCTGTCTTTCTCCATACATTACAGTGAATTAAGTATTGAGAACTGGATTATGCCTGCTGTTTACGCTGGCCATATTTCTCAAGTAGTATGGCTTCACCCACCCTGGGCTCAGCAGATCTCAGAAGGAAAACACAGTTTTTTAATTGGGAAAGACGTATCAACAACAACAATGAGGTAAATTGTCTGCTGTCTTATACTAGTAATATAAAGCTATCTCTATAGCTTTTCATGGGCTTTTTTTTATATTCTTGGATAAAGATGAAAATTTAATTTGTATATGTGATTTGCTTAGGACCTAATGTGACTACCTGTGTGAATGGGCACAGTGAAAATTGTGCCTTAATTTTTTTTTTTTATAGGTAATTCTAGCTATTCACATTTCATTTCAGCTACCCAGGTTTTAAATTAGTTCTCATTAAAGTAAAAAAAATCTCAGAAAGCAGTCATTTTTAACAGAGGATTTGGGTAACAGAGGGCAGCAATTAGATCCTCCTCAGCCTTCCCTTATCAGGACGAAACAAGCCCAGTTCCCTCAGGTTCCCCGTGTTCATCACATGCTGCAGACCTCTAATCACCTTAGCAGCCGTCTGTTAGATCTTCAGTTTATTGATGTCTCTCTTGTCCTGGAGGCAGATTATTTCAAATGTGACTTCGCTGGTGCTGAATAAGGGGAGAAATCCCTTCCCTTGACCTTTTGGCTATGCTTTTGCTAATACAATGAAATTTTGTGATTAGTCTTCATCACTGCAGGGTCGTACTGCTCACGCATGCTCAAGTTGCTTTCTGCTGGGATTACCAGTTCCTGTTCTGCAGGTCCTTGCTTGTCTATGTCAGCCCTGTACTGCTGCATGGGGTTATTGCATCCCAGGTGCAGGATCTTGTATTTATCTTAGTTTAACTTAATGAGATTCTTGTAGGCTGTTCCTCTAGGCTGTCTAGGTCATTCAGGTCAACCTTGCCTTCTAGTGTATCAGCTACCCATAGGTCAGTGCTGCCTGTAAACTTTCTGAGTGCATTGCTGAGGGCGTTAATGAAGATGTCAAAACAGTAACAATCCCTGAGGAGCACTGCTTACAACTAGCTGCCAGTGAGACTTATTGATCACCACCATGGAACTGTTGGTCCAGCCAGTTTTTCACCCACCTTGTACTGCATCCAGTGAGTACATATCAAGGATTATATACATATGATCATATGATAATAGACATTAAATATTTTTAAGCTTCAGGGAAACCTAATTTTTCAACTTTATCAATAGTGCATCCATTATTTTCTCTTCCAGTTAAAACAGAATTATTGATGGGATATCCTCCTTGCTTTACCATTCAATCATAGAATGCCAAATTCTAACCTAGCTCATAGTACAGTCTAAAAAAAAAAAGATACAATTAAGTAAATAAGATCACTTTGATAAAACTGACCTGAAATAAAAGGGGATACTATTATTTAGCAAATGTCACAAAGTTCATAATTACTTTTTGCACAATTCTATTTCATAGTAACATACTTAAGAAAACTATGTGTTTTAAGACAAACTTTTTTTAACTGTTCTGGATCAAAAGAGAGCAGAGTCATGTTTGGGCTATGTGGGAAAAAAAATCACTTGCTCTGCTTTGATTCTGTACTCATATTCAGCTGTTTTCAGCTAGTTCCTTTGATAAGTTTCCCTTCAGGGTGAGCTTACATGGTTAAATGCAGTATGAGTGACTGACCCATGAAGTTCAGAGATTTGTGTTCAGTAGAGTTATAACAAACCAAAACGGGACAGAAAGTGAAGGGCAGCTTTTATTTTATTTTCTAAATGGAACCTAAATGTACCAATCAGGACAAAGTGTGTTTGTCATCCTTATTGTGACAAAACTGGGCATTTAATGCATGTAAAGCTTCCCTCCCCCCCCCCCTTCTTTTTGTGGATGGGAGAAAGCAGTTCAACTTGTATCTCTTTGGTCTTGCTAGTAAAATTTTGGCTTGGTATCAGCCAGGATTCTGTTCTTCTGGTGTGGGGTTTTTTGTTTGGTTTTTTTTGTTTTGTTTTTTTTTGACGTTAATCTACTAGTTAAGCACTGAAACAGGTACACAGGCAGGTGGTGAATTCTCCATCCTTTGATAAAGTTAAAACTCAACTGGACGAGGCACTGGGCAGCCTCATCTAGCTTTGAAGTTAGTTCTGCTTCAATCAGATGATTGACTAGAGACTTCCAGATGTCTCTGCCAGTCTTAATCATTCTGTGATTCAAGTTCCAATCAGATCCCCTCATCATTCAGCAGGATGCAGCCCATGACAATTTCACATTCACCATATGCACTGCATTGTGATTTTGTATAGCTTGAATGGACGTTTACAAATCCTGTCTCTTGCCAGCATATCAGAATAAATGTTTTGAAGCAAGTTTAACAGAAGACAGCAGAGAAATGCTTTGTTTTACCACCTTAAATAAAACACTAAAGCTCCACAATTCTGAATCTGAGGCCTAAAGTAAACCTAACTAATAAGACAAAAGCTGGTGCTTTCAGTTACATTTAACCATGAGAATTAGCACACATATAGAAATACTTCACGATGGCTGAATAGCTCTCCCACAGATCCTCTGGTCGCCTTAGCAATCTTGAAAACAACATTTCAAGATGCCTTTTGAAAATGGTCAGGTACCTTTTCTTCAGGTTCTAGGCTTACAAGAATCATGAAGGAAGAAAGGGAAGGAATCCGCAGAAATATGAACTTCCTAAAACTTTTGTTGACAACAGGTGGCTGGATAGGTAATAGATACCTTAGTTAGTGTCCCACCAAGGGAAAGGCAGTAGTATGAGCTCGTATTGAACCCTGGAGAATTTCTGAGAAAAGACCCTGTGAATGCCCCATCAACAAGATGAAGTTGTTATCCAGGCTGTCATTTTAGCAAGCTCAGGATAATCCAGCCAGAGGACACTGGGGAACTAAGCTTCAAATTTCTGCTGCTTATGGAATTATTTGTCTTTGTGGTTGATTGATGGTTATACCCTGTAATCAAATGAGGCCTTAACACAAGTGAGCAGAAATTCACACTTCTTCTTAAGCTTATTTTTTAATCTGAATTTATGATGCTTAAGGCTTAATGTACTGAAATATGGCTTGAAAATTATATTCTTTAAGTTTTCACTGTAAGTGGAGGTTTTGGTGGTGTTGGTTTTGTTCGTTTGGTCGGGTTTTTTTAATTAAGTGGATTCCATTGATATGCAGCTATTCATCCTCAAGTTACTGGCTCTCCCCCACTTAGAACAGGAAATCTATATTGGTGGTAAAAAAAAGTTAAATGCTACCTTTTAATTTATAATATTTTACTAAATCAATATCTGTGGGTTTCAGGGCACTTCTCAAACACAACTAACAGAATTTTCCTTAAAAATGAGGCAATCCAAGACAAAATATCCATAGCTTTGCAGTCTTATGTGCCATAATATTGACAATATCTTGTTAAATTCTGGATTTGGTCTTTAAAGTGCAGTTCAATGGCAAATTAATCTTAGAAGCACATAATATAGAATCTTTTTGTTATCCCTTAAAACCGCACAGGCTAACATAAAAAAATATAGAGTGAATTTTAATATATTTATTCTGCAATAAAGAAGTAGAAAAAACTTCAATTTAAAAACCTGCAGATTAAAATAAATATTTTTGTGTACACAGTTTCATTGCTTTTGTTACCCATCAAGCATTTATTCATTCTTCTCAGGATCCCTAAAGTGTGCATGCTTTTTCCTAAGCTCTTTGCAAAGATATGTATTAACTGTGAGTTATTGTCAATTGTAGGGTTACAGGTACAGATCATTACTTTTTAAGTGATGGTCTTTATGTCCCTGCTGATCAGCTAGAAAACCAGAAGCCTTTAAATTTACATGTCATTCTCATCAATCCTACTGAAGCATCAAACAGCTGTGAAGAAAATGGTGAAGTAGCATCTGCTAAGAGACTGAAGCTAAACACAGATGACACAGCAAGCACCACTTCTGCCTCTTCATCAGTGGATCCTGGTGACCTTGATCACAGCACCCCAAGTGTGAAGAAAAAGGAAGTACAAAATTCAAGTGCCCTGAACAGGGCAGAAACCTTGTCAGAGTGCTCAGCTTCAAGCTCTCTTGGAAATAGTGAATGCCCAATAAGGGAAGTTGTTAAAGATGTCTGCCAAGTACTGCAGAAAGGGGATGCATATATTTTAGACATTGATTTAGATTTTTTTTCGGTTAAAAATCCATTCAAAGAAATGTACACACAGGTAAGCATGGCAACAGAGAGGCCTCTTACCATTCACAAAAGAGTACCAGCCCTAGCATTTATGTCTGTGGAGAAACTTTCATCTAAGATAAATTAGCAGATCAGCTGATCATGATTAGTGATTCATGGTAGCATTTGAAGGAGAGACATTCTAAGGGAGTGTATGCTCCAAAGAATTGCAACAACCTAATAGGGTAGATCCTTGCATTTGAAATCGGTATTGAGTGCACATTCAAGCTCAGAGGTATATGGCTCACTTCTGCTTGTTGCTTGGGTCATAAAAGCTATGCTTAGGTTTCCAAAGGTAATGTTGCAAATACCCACAGCAAGATTCATCAGGGAGGGATGACAGACTGTTTCAATTTTTACCCCCTATAACATGCTATTGGAAAGCCACAATGGTATCAGGAGGCTCTGCCTTTCAAAAGGCAGGGTGGTGGTGATTATCCCACGAGTGGTTACTTGTCCTGGTGAGAGGCTGTCACACTTACTTCCTTTGTCTGGAGTGCTGAGTATAAGGATGAGCAGCTGTTGTCTCTGATGCCATGGCTTTGAGCTTAAGACTCTGCCTTGTGTTCCATTTATAACTTGGTTGCACAGGAAAGGTAGCTCACCTGATAGAGTCATGAATAAGTAGATCCTCAAAGCTGCAAAGCAGTTAGCAGCTTTTCTTGATGTGAACAGGATTTTTAGGAACTAACTAATCTGCCCTGAAAATTGGGTGTGGCATTTAGGTTTACAAATTCTTCTGCAATATCCTGACTGGTTTTAGCATTTAAATGTCTCTTTTTGACACTGTTGTAACTTCAGCCTATGCTGGAGAACATCTGACTTCTTTGAGTTTCAGCTAGACTACTGCTTCCTTGTTCACCATAAAGGAGTGAATATAGTATCCCTGACCTTTGTTAGCTTCTGATAGTCAGTATTTATGATTGCAGTATCTTCAGACAATGTGCAATGCCATTGCTCTGCAATGCTCTGCTCTAAAAAAATCCCTGAGTGTTCACCTTTTAATGCTGTTAAGTAAATAGTGAGATCTTTTTATCCTTGATTAATTAAACCTGAATATTATTAAGGAGTAGGGCTGAGAAGCCCAAATTGTGAACTTGTTGTCAAACTAGCCTGACGCCTTTATCTATCCTGTTTTCCTTTACAATCATACTTTCCTGTTGGTTTTGTCTGCCTAAATTTACCATCTCAGTTTTACTCAGCATCTTATTGGACCTTAGTTCAGCAACATGTATGTCTAGTTTCAGAGACTCTTTAACAGACTGTAAATATTTAGCTTTTAAAGCTGTGGTCTTGAAGTCAGGTTTAAAGTTAAGCGACTGCAGAATGTTTGGCTGAGGCCATGAAGTATTGCTTTCTCAAGCCTCACAGCCTCTTCCGCACCTGCATTTATAGAGAGTTGGCTGCAGTACTAGAGTAGAGGAATGATCTTAGTGGTCAAATTCTTTTTTTGAAGGAGGGCTTGGAGGATTTTCTTTTTCTTTTGAAGAGACTTAATTTTTTGCCTCTTTTTTTTTTTTTTCCAAAGACAGAATATGAGCTTTTGCAAGAGTTGTACAATTTCAAGAAGCCTCATAGAAATGCAACAGAGGTATGGTATTTCTGTGTGGGATGTATGAGGGAATGATTGTTTTGGTTTACCCAATAAAAATCAGTTACGACAAGAAAGGAACCTATGAAAGGTGCTTAATTAAGTGGTCTCCAATTAAGCTATGCAGCATGCTGAATGCTAATCAGCAGCATCTTAGGAGTTCTTTCCTATTAGACGTTTTGTTTGAACTTGTGAACTGGATAAATATTTAGCACGAGTGTGAAAATTAATTTCTGTAAACAAGTGGTAATTGACAAGGAAGAAATGAAAACATAGTAAATGATCTGCAATCTTATTCTTTTTATGGCTCAGCATGGCTTTGGTTTGGGTATTTTTTTTGTTTGGGGGGGTGGTTTGTGGTTTGGTGTTTTTTTGGTTTTTTTGTTTTTTTTTTTACTTCCCACCAGGCTCTCCCCTTCCTTCCCGTATTTGCTCTTCTTTGATAGTCAGAGCTGTGCTGAGTGCCTCACTGGTATTTTACCTATTTATTTAGATGTAGAAAGGACAGTTATACCACTGTAATGTACTTTTCATTGTATGTGTTGTATGCTTCTGAATCATGGAAATGTAAGTCTGCTGTAGCTGCCAAAACAGTCATTCAGCCCTGAGCCCAAACCATGGAGACAGCCATGTTAATGGTCACTACACCAAGTAATTTCTAATCAAGATCTTGTCTTTGCTTTCATAATCTCATCTGAACACTATTACAGAGAGATTCAGCACATAAAATTATCACAGATTAAAGAATCCTAATTAATATGTGTGTATAAAGAAATGGAGATATGGGGAAGGTTGTGAAATTGATTTTCATATTTCTTAGTCAATTGGCAATAAAAACAGTTACCTATTTAAAAGGTAGTTAAATGTGAAAGGGGTAAACGCTTGTGATTTAAGTTCCCAATGTGATTTCAGGGCATAAGTTATTTACAAAAGCCAACAAATTTATAGGAGGCAACTGAAATGGTTAGCAGACAGTGTGTAATGGATAGGTATAGAACTGAACAAGTCAAGACCAGACTCATGGATGGTTTTATAGTGAGACAGTCAATTTAAAGGATTTGAAGGTAGAAAACTAGTGAACTTTGTGCTTTTCAAAATTTCAGAAAATATTCTAGATCTCTAGTCTCTTAAAATTCCTGAGTACAGTTACATTTGTATCATACTACATTATACTATTGTGGTTTTTAGGGGGTGTTGTTTGGTTTTGGTTTTTAAGTAGCATAGAGGGGGATGGGACATGTCTTTAAGGTTAGTTACTGGTGATGCTTAGAAAAGTGTCTTATTCATGCCCCAGGATAGGATCATAAATCTGTGCTTTATGAATGATTGATACTCCCTCAGCTCTTCTTAAAAATTAGTCAAAAGTTGACATCACTGGCCAAAAGAAGCAGCATCTGTTATATGATACAGCCAGCAGAATCCTAAGAGGGAATTGTTGTGTTCTTAATTGTTACCTATCTTTTCCAAAGTTCTTTGTAATTTCCTTCACACACCACTGCACTGAGCATTTTTAATACCAAATATGCCAAGCATTGCTTTTCATTTGATACGTTATGTAGGATCTCTTTCTGCAAATGTTTGCATGCACAACTATTCATGTATGTAGCCTCACTCCAAGAAGATTGCCTCTTTATGTGTTCTGAACTTTTTAAGAAAGGGCATAAAGCTTTGCAGGTCAGAGCAATAACTGACATTTTAAATTAATTCCATGTCTTTTCAGGCATGCAGTTGAAAGAAGCTCAAAATCTGAAATTTTGTTTTGTTTTTTCTGAAAATGCATTTGACTTAATATATTATTTTTAAACATAAAAAAATTAAATTTTCCTTTCATTATAAAAATGTAAAGCTTGTACTCATCTGAGCATTTCAGTTCTATAGAAACAAATCTAACAATTGGTCATACACAGTTTCTTAGCTCTCCCCAGTGTATACTGCCGGAATGTAGATGTGGCACTTTTTTTATTTGTTGTGGGAAAGACGGAGCAAAGAGAGGTGGTATTCTGAAGGTATAACAGCTTCTGCAGGCATTCATTCTGATCCTCTTGAAAAAATGTTCTGTAGTAATGAATCAGTTGTTTCTGATTCCCCACTGCCAGTAGATCAACCATTTCAGAATTTAAATCATAGTGTAAGCCATGAAATTCTTACCTCTTTTTTTCCTAACATGCTTTTGTATGTGCTTATTTAAAGGAGGGCTTGCTGGACTGTGTTGAAAACCGTGTTCATCAGCTAGAAGATCTGGAAGCAGCATTTGCAGATTTGTGTGACAATGATGATGAGGAGACCCTACAGAAGTGGGCTTCCTGTCCTGGGTAGGAAACTTCTGAATGGCTTAAAATGCAAACAGTAGTTTGGGAACTGATTAGCCCAGCACTTTGCTAACAGAAAAGGAGAGAGCCTGGATAGGTTCTATACAAGGCTACCATTTTTCCTTTAGTTCTAGAGGAGGAAGAGTCAGACAGAACAAAAGGAAAGGCCATCTGCTGTCTTCAGTGCCATGGTAAGCCTTTCCAAGATCAGCCGTGTATAGCTTCATGCAAATTCTATTTTCTGTGGAGGGAGGCACGTTTGGTGACTAAACATTCAGTGATCTGTGTGAAGCAAAGCTCTCAAAAAAGCAACAAACTACAGATGATATGGAGAAGGACTTTGGTTGTCCCAAAGGTTCTGCTTTTTGTGGAAAAATGGAAGTGAATGAAAGGCTGTACCTGAGCAACAGTGTCCACAAAACATCTCAGCAGCATCTGCTATGCTTTTAAACTAAATGTTTTCAGCTGAAAAGAAACAGCAAAAGTCTGGGTTTTCCCTTGATAGGAAAATCCCTCATTTTCCCTATCAAATGCAGCAGTTACTGCCAGACCTGTGTAACACTGACCACAAGCATTTCCTATCAAGTTCATATGACTTTGAGGTACAACAGCTTCTCTCCAGGTCTACCCTAAAAGAAGTGCAAAGAGGTCTTGCCAGAGGCAGATATAGGGGCTTTGTAAGAAAGACCTGGTGAAACAGTACAATGGTACTGATAATTTTAATTTTTCTCAGGTGCAGGATGACACAGAGGGGCAAATTACATTTTCAAATCCTAGGCCATGATAACTTCTTCTTTTTTCTCTCTCCTTTTTTCTTTTTTTCTTTTTTTCAGCCTCTTGAGGTAAATGTATGTGTTTCCAGCTCTTTATGTAATAACTTCTGGTTTTGTTTTCACTCCAGAATGAAGTCGCTTGTTCAGCTAGTTCACAGTTTGAAAACCAGGATGGAAAGCCCAGACTATGAAATGGTAGGTGACTAGGTAAAAGACCAGAAAGTAGACAGATTTCAAAAGCATAGCTTCAACAAGGAGGGAAAAGATCATGCTTCATTTCAGACTTGCTTCTTGATTCAGGACTTTGTGAGATTTTCGTGGTTTTGAGGTTTTTTTATGTCTTATTAATTAGGCCAGCTTTTCTTCATAAAGCTTCTAAAATTCTACTCTGCTTGTCTATATTTAGGCGATATTAATGTGATCTTTCAGGACTGTGATGTCTCAGGCTGCTTCCTGTGAAGGAAGGTTTCATTTCACCAGGGTTTGTTCATATACTTTATAGAACTTAAGGTACCTATTTGTAAAAGATCGGACCTGTCATCTTCAAGGTCTGCAGCATACTCTGAATTCATAGGAGAGGTATAGTGTACTGGAGATAATGAAACAATCCATACAACCTGCAGAATTTTATTCTTTTTGTTTAAAGAACAAGTTGGGAAATAAACCCAACTCTTAACTGCCTGAAGAGGTGTAAGTTACCTACTGGGCTAGGGATGGTATCTTAGAGACTTTTTACACAGATAAACTGTATCAATAATTCATCAATAGAAATTAAATCCTGTTTAATTTACATGTAGGTCCATCAGGCTGGTCTGACTTGTGATTATATGGAGCTTCCTCACCACGTTAGCACCGAAGAGGAGATCGAAGGCCTCATACAATCCATTAAAGTTCTACTAAAAGATATGCCTAAGCCCACACTTGTGACAGTTGCTCGGTAAGACTGTGTAGGTACTTTTACTTTAAAATGCTCAGACTGTGTTTACAAAGCTAAATAATTCTATCAATACAGCACTAGCTGGCACATGTTAAATTCTGCCTTAAAGTGGAAGCCTTACAGTGTAGTGAAAATTGACAGTTGAAAATGTTGATCATAAGGCAGTGACAGTATCTACACAACTAAGGGAACGTTCTGTGCTGAGGGCTAGTTTTACTGGGCTTTAGAGTAGCTAGCACAGATTTCAAAAGCAGTGAAAACATGATGACTTAATGAGCTTCAGCACAGGCTTTATAAAGCCTGTGATGAGGCCTTGTGTGTGTTAAGATTGATAACTGTCACTGGGGCTCATAGATGTCTGCTACTTTTATTACTTGTGCTAGTTAGAGCAAAGCTAGCTTGGACAAGCCTGCCTGGGCTGAAATCACGCATGCCTTACTCTCTTGCTCTAGGGTTTATGGTACTACAGATAGGATTTCTGTTTTCGGTGAAACTTGTGATAGAAGTGGTTTTCATCTAATAGGCTGAAAGGGATTTATATTCTAGAAAGCTCTAGTAAAGCTTTGCATGGGGTAAAAGTTACACTTCCAGGACTGTATGGGTATTATTTGGGAGAACGAGGTGGACTTTGAGGCCAGGGACCTGGGAGAAGCAGGGATCTGCCCTGGGAAAACTTAATTTGAAGACCACAGTGTATCTGTTGACAAATTGTTGTAATTTAATCACTTCAAAAATACTAAGTGTGCCATTAAAGGGCAGGCAACAATAGCAGAAGCTGACAGGAAATTGTTTTTGTCAACAAGAAATAGTATGGCTAATACCTGCAGTAAAAGAAGGCTGTATTTCCTGTGCCAGCTGCAGGGTCATCATCCACTGTTGCAGAGAAAATAGAGAATCATTTATGTAGCTCTTGACAGATAAAAAAAATCCAAGAAGTGTCAGCTCTGCTTTTTTACTAGTGTCTGTTTGCAGTTCATTAATAGTTACTGTACAAAATGTTGTATCACAGGGATTGTGAAGATTTGTTTTTCAAGTTTTCCTACGTATTTTACTAGTAGCATTTGAGTTTTTCAATCTTAACTTTCCACCAGTCCTTTAATTGGATCATTTGCTTGAACTTTGACTGCCAACTTATCTTGTGTCAGAGTCAGGAAGAGAGTAGAATTGGAAGGAAGAATAGGTCACGTTCCTAATCTGCTCCAGACTTTCTATTCAACTTCATGCAAACTGTTACCGTTGAAAGTAGGGCAAAGAAGCACAGCACTACGCTTTGAAGGAATACTGGGAGGCAGAACTCACCACGGTTTGAAAGTAGCTTCAACCTAGACACAGAGCATTACAAGAATACAAAATATAGTGATGGTGGTGATACCTGTACTCTCTCATGCTTTTTTCAATTCCTTGTTACAGATCAAGTTTGGATGACTATTGCCCTTCAGAGCAGGTTGACATCATTCAAGAGAAGGTTCTCAATTTACTAGGTTTGGTGTATGGCACTCTGGATGTGCACTTAGATTACTCAAGCACCTCATCTTCTTTGTGACCTTTCTTGACGTATTGCCCTCTAATGCAGTGAATTAATTTAAATTGCATATTAGCTGTGGTTGCAAGGGGAAAAATACCATTGTTTCAGCAGGTGGCACTAGAACCCAAGCTGACCAACAGCTAGTTTTGAGTTGCATTGCTTTCTCCAAATCAGCTGCATCTGAACTGTTACCTGTTTGGCTTTGTTCAGATTAGTTCTGTGATTATTATTTTTACTGTCTTGCTTCATAAAATTAGTGCAAGGTAAACTATTTTTTCTCTATAAAATGTATTTTTTCACCTGATTTCTTTTAAGTGGCTGTAAAAAATATATATATATATAATTTCTTAAAATAAATGGATTTCTTTTATGTAATTAAACTTGTTTTGATGGAGTTTGGTGAGCAACAGACATGTTCCTGAGTTGCATTGTACCTTTTTAAAAAATTATTTCAATAATGTCATTAAGACATTAAGTTTACATAGTGATCTTTCTTAACAGCTGTGGTCGAGATGACCAGGCATCCCTCTATCATTTCTCTAGAGCAGCTTATGGCTTCTGCCCTATCCACAAAATATCATTTATATTTATACTCCCTTGCATTAATATTGTCTTATTTTGCCTTAGACTATTTCACTGGTGACTCAGATAATATCCCTAATGTATGACATTAGCTTGGTATTTTCGTTTTTACATATTTTTGAGGATAAAAACTATGTGTGCATGTGCATGCTTTTATCTGTTGAATCCTGTAAAGAGTTGAATTGATGTTTTCTTCAGAAACAGAGATTTAACTTGACTGAAGTCAGCAGCAAAACCTTCCGCACCAGGTTTTCACTCATTTCAGTATTGCTATTTGGAAAATAACAGTTTTAAAACTATTTAATTTAGAAAGCAATCTGGTTCTAGAGAAAACTGCCACTTCCAGAGGAAAAAAAACCCACAGGATTTATTTGGGAATGAAACCGAAATGGGAAAGAGAAAATACTACCTAGAATATTGTCTTTTATTATGAATAAATTTTGCTTGTAATTTCTTCTGAAATAGTTAAGTTCATTTGTTAACATTAGTATTTGCTCTACAGGGACTGTGCACTCTTACAGTTTTTTGCTACTTCTGCTGTTGATATAAATGACTATATTATAGATTGAAAATATAGAATAATTTTAAAATATTTCTTCCAGTAGAATAAATTCCATGACCATGGACCTATTTTCTTCGTGCTTATGCATTCTGTCACAAAGATGTGGCAAGCCTTGGATCCAAGATGCTTAATACTTCATAAATTATAAACACCCGTACATTGCGTACAGAAACGAGTGGACTCAGATGACATACTGCTTGAGTAAAGTTTTTTGTTTTCTTTAGAGTAAGAGATGCTCTTTGCTGGGCTTTGAATGAGGTTGTAGAAAACAAAAAAACCCATTGGATCAAAGGTGCCGGGGGTACTTCTGCACTGTGAAGAATTATGTTAGCCCCAGAAAGAGAAGTGTGCAGGGTGTGATAGCACAGTTCTGCCTGTCTAACTGATATTCTGCTTCTACGTCTCAAAACAGAGCACCTGCAGCACATCAGCCTGTAGCGGGGCCGCCGCTGTGAGGAGAGACTGGGGGCTGCCCCGGGCCAGACCGGCCCCAGCCGGTTCCCGCCGGTTCCCGCCGGCTCCAGCGGCCCCACCGCCGGGCACAGCGGAGCCCCTCAGCCTCGGGGAAAGCCTGGGGAAGAAAGGGCAAAAGGGCTGAGGGAAACGGGGCGAGAAACAGCCCTGCCAGCCCCGAGGGGAGAGCGGGAGGAGGGCAGGAGGTGCTCCAGGCCCCCCTCCCCGGCAGAGATGGCCCTGCGGCCCGGGCAGAGAGCCCCCCGGTGGGGCAGGGGTTCCCCTGCAGCCCCGGGGAGAGGACCATACCAAAGGGGGTGGGTATTTCCTGAAGGAACAGCAGCCCATGGAGCACCCCATGTTGGGTCAGGGGAGAAGTGTGAGGAGGAGTAGCAGGGTGGAGCCCTGTTGCCTGTCCATCCCATCAAGGTCCTTGAAGCTGTCCTGAGCGTTTCTTGAGGGCTCAGATATTCAGGGAATGGCGCAGACAGCACAGCCTTGGAGCCATGACTGTCACCAAGGTGACTTCTCCTCACCCTCCCTGAGGTCTGTCCTGCACCTGCTTTTCTCACTGCTGGGATGTACACTGGCTCTCAGGTCAGCCCAGTCCCAGGGGTGCAGCCCTGCCATTGACTCTCTAATTCTCCAGTTGTTTCCAAGGGGAGTAACGGTGGAAATGGGAAGGTCCTTGGCCATACAGGACAATGCAATAAAGCAGACAACCCTCACAGGATAGCTGGAGGGAAGGAACAGAGGGGAAAAGTTAGTGCCCTTGAGCTGGTTGTCTGGTCCGTGTTTCTGACTACAATGGGAAAGAGACCTGTCAGTCCTCTAATGAGGTCTTTGTTTTTGAGTGTGGTGGGTTAATCCCACCATCCAGTCTAGATGATCTAGATTTAGATCTAGATATATAGATATGGACTTTATTTATGATATTGCATCAAATCAGTTTCTTGGCTCAGAATTTGTGATCTGCAGCCTTGTTGCTTGACTGCTATCCCACAGTGCAGTTCTTGCAGAAATAATACTCTTCAGGAACTTACCTCCTGATAGAAATGCTACAAGGCTACTTAGTCCCTCCAAACACAGGCTGAGAAGGTAAAAACTGCATGTAGAACAAGGGAATTCCTTTTTACCCAAACTCTTTGGGGTACTTTCTTTAGAAGTTGTAAAAGTTGGGGGGGGCAGTTTTAAAGAAATCAGCCCTAATTACATTGTGAGATTTGACAGGAGTGTGGGCCCACTGCTTTTTACAGTGTGTGATTCACTTGTCCCAAGGAAAGATCCTTACAGAAAAATCACATGCCTTGCAAAGTTTACTGTTAAATCAGTTCACCCTCTTCTGTGCTTTTCTGTTGAAGAAGGATGGCTCGACCTCTGTCGAGCACAATACCATGTCATGTTTTCATTGCAGTATTTCACAACATTTGATCTGTGCTTCAGAACAAACACAAACCCTCACTTCTGTCTCCCCATGAGACAGAAACCCAAAACCCCATCTGCCCATGATGTGTCCTCACCTACTGGGTAGACAGAGTGACAAATTTAGTCTCTGAAGCTGGTTCCTATTCTTTATAGAAAGATGGGCCAGTTGTGAGTCAGAAATAAATCACTGCATAATAACAAGTTGAGCAGAAAGAATGTTTGCCTCTTTGGAGCAGTTTTTACCAACCACTGGTCCTTTAGTGCAATGGGAAGGTGTGTGGGGAGAAATGTGCCCTGCAGTAGTGTTAGAGATCCAAATTCAATTACATATGTTCAGAAAGGCTAAAAAAAAATCACAAATCTGACTCCTAGTTCCACCAGCATACTTGTGATTTTGTCACAAGTCACCTTCATCAATGGCACCTTTACAGAAAAAAGCTAGTTTTAAATGCAATATTAGTCAATAAAGGAAAAGATTACACCAATGTTACCAGTTTTCTCTTACATACTTATGTTGTGTTGGACACAAATATCAGCTAGTCCAGTTTTACTTCAGAACTGCGGATTGTAATGTTGTCTCTTCAGTTAACAGCTTGCTTTTCTTTCATAGCCAAAAGGCATGTGCATTACTGAAAATACTTAAAAAGAGAGGAAATCTGTAGTTAAGGTCTGGGAGGAGCTCAAGAAAGGGCAAAGCAAATGCCTTTGAGTTATTCTGTTGTAGAATTTTTAAACAAATATATAAATTTGTGACATTCTTAATAGCCCTCAGACAGTAAAAAAAGCTTTCAAAATGAAGCTATTAGATATTAAAATGACTTCCTGATGGAAAAAGACCTTTAATTTCAATCTTGTTATAAAGTTAACCAAATGAAGGGCCTTTAGCTGGTCCCCAGCCTATTGAGTGGCACTGGATCAAGCTGGTCCTTCTCAGAAGATCTGACAGGATGAATCTGCTCTCAAGGCAAGAAGGTACTGCAACAGCTGGTACCTCTTGGGATGGTATTAGAGTCCAGGCAGAACAACAAAGTACACTTCTAGGGCATTTCTACACATACTGTGCAGTCTGTAGCCCTCCCTTCTGCTGCCTTCAGGTCAGAAGCATTAAGGAAGGCCAACAAGGCAAAATTAACAGTGTTTCTGCATGCCTTTCTTGTCTGAGATTGGATGCTAATTGAATTTGGCTGTACCAAAAAAATCTACCTGAAATTTCTGCCCTTTGTGTCCTTCCTCCTACACAGCCACTAGAAAGATGAAAGTTTGTTGCTGACATGTTATAAAAAAAATTTACTGCTAGACTTGCCTTTTCAGGGATCAGATATTTTCCTTGCTGCAGAAACAGCTTCCTGCTTGAATGGAGCATATTCATTTCTCTCCGCAATCAGCAATGCACTAATTTCCACTCTCAGAAGCACCTGTCAGTAGGACAAGATAATTCTTACAGCCATGAAAATTATCCCTCTTTAATAAAGTATGAGTGCAAAGTCTCCGAGTACTTTGAAATTCATACTAGAAAATGATGTACAAACAATTTCATTTTGGAGATGCAGACCTGGGGAGAAAGGATTAAGTCTTCATTTTTTCCCAAAGAAGACAGAGGGAAGGGAAACTCAGAGCTCATATCCAGTCGGGAAGTAGGCATCCAGGAAGGCAATCATCGAGAAAGAGGACAGAACTGGTGAGAAGCAGGTGCTGCTGAGCACTTTGCTGCCTGCGTTTCTGGCTGAAGAGACTTACTGTGATTCATCTGGAAAGGGCTGAATTTATAAACCAGCATACACTCCTCTGACAGATGCTCTATGCCAAATTAAAGTCTAGCTCAAGCTCCAGTTCAGGTTCGTAGTTCCTTGTGTTAGTGGGTTACACCTGGTCTGTTTATACCACAGTTTCCCACAGATATGATATAATTTGGTGTTTCCTTCACTTACTTTGTCGCTATTTGTCTTTTACGTGGACTGCAACAAGCCACCTTCAGGTGGGGTTGCTTTTTGCTTATATGATTATGCAATAGCCAGCTTGCAGGGCCTTAGAGGAAAGCTTGGAAAGCCACTTTCTATGTCATCCAAAAGTGATGTTTGGTAAAAGTAAATCATCCTGCTTTGCGGTTCTATGCAGCTCAAAGCCTTTAAACAGCTAACCATCCTCTTGTGACCCTCCAATTCCTGGCCCCCCGCGAGCTGCAATTGTTTCCTGAACTGAGGAATCCTTCCTGACCGTGGAGATACTTGTTATGGTCACTAGGTGGAGCAATAAATGCATCATTTGAAAGCTGCTCGGAGGTCAGGAAGTAAGCTGGAAGAAACCTGGAACCTTTGCAAGTTTATCCCCTGACTAAACTGTGATCATGAAAAAGCAGTGGGATAATTCCCTCCTGGGTATTCAAGGATTTTCTATTATATTCAAAGCTCATCACTACTTTTTACCATTTTAATAGCTGATGCATCTCCAAAAAAAACTTGCAAAGAAATAGGATAGTTCTAAGTAAAATAAGAAAACATGAAGAATGCACTGACAAAGTATCATAAGGTACCTAATTTTTAAGGAAAAAAAAAACCTTCTAATCTTATGAATATGTTTTTTTAATAACAGTTGTGACCCAAGCATGGTATAGGTATTTTCCCTGCAACGTACAGGGCCTACTGTAATGCACTGGATAAAAGCCTTAAGACTGTAAATACTACCGTTACAGTACATGGGTGTCTTACTTCAATAAAAGTCCTATTTGTTTCTTATGTACTCATTTATCTGTCTTTAGCTATGTCTGGATGTTTCTTTGTTAAAATCACGGTAGCATATCTCAACTGGAGCACACTGTGTGAGCCAGCACAGACAAGACACAGGTACAACCACTGAACCACAGATGAAATGCAAAGAGTAAATTTATTTTTGTTACCTCACCAACCGGGGGATCCCTAAAGCAGCACCTGGGCAGAGGCACACAAGTGGGGATGCAGGCACTGCTGAGCTCAGTCCATGCTAGAGGACGGCTGACCCTGCTGGTTTGCTGCTATATGTCTAAAAATTCCCTTAACTCTTTTGGGGTGTAAATACATGTGATCTGCACTCCCCCAACAACTTGTTCCTGCTGTCCCCCCTTTTTTATAAGGGGTTGTGTTTCTACCACCTCCCAGCCTTCTAAATCCGACTTAAACTCAACCTTGGAGTCCAGGGATTCACTCTAGATATTTCCATTCCATTCCTTGGGATCCCACAAAAGTTTTGTGGTGAGAGCACAAACCTGGGAAACTGAAACCTTACTTTTCCCATATCTGCCCCTTCATTTATTAGCGATACATGCTACCAACCACTCCACAGTACCTTGCAGCCCATGGCACCACTCTGCTTGAGTATTGATTACTTCTTGTGTGATCACCTTTGCATCTTATAAAGTCCCAACTTCCCTTTCCAACTCTCTCATTTTAGTCCATAATGCTACAACTTCACAATCGAGAGCTCTAAGACTGGTGACTAATAACCA